GAATAACAATAATTCATATCTCATATTTCATAGGGTAGTTGTTCAGATTCAACAAGAATGCCCATTTAAACAATCCTCAAAGTGTCTGAAACATAGTAGGGTCTTAGTAAATGGTGGGTTTTTTTTCCTAAATTCATCCAGGTTTATGGGGTTCCACTTTATAATGACTGCATTTGCCTTGCATCTTTCCTCTGAACTAACACTGCTCTGGTACTCTGAAGGGTTAGCCCAATTCTTAGAACCAATTATATGAGAAAATATGCCTGCAAAGTTTCACTGGTAACATGAAAATGCATCACGGTGCGTGCACTACCCTGGGAGTCAGATGCCTGGATTGAATCCCAGATGGGCCACTGCTGGCAAGTCATTATTAGGAAGTTTTCTTCATCCTCTTTGAAATTCAGTTTTATTACCTGTAAATACTGGCATAAAAACCAACATTCAGTATTCATATTCACTTTTCATTCAACAATTATTTATTAAGAATCTTTCCTGAGAGGCAAGCATTTGAGGTACAGACAAGACACAGGAGGTCACTGTCCTTTTTGATCTCATCTCCCAAAGATGTTGTAAGGACTAAATCAGACCAGATGTCGCGTGGTCAACACTTGGCACCTGCTCTGTGTCTGATAAATATCCACCAAGTGCAATCTGCTGAATGGAGGGGTCTTTCAGGTTAATACACCTCCCATTCTCCCTTGCCACCTTCATTCCAGAAGATGAATTTAACCTGCCTCCTATCAGGCCCAGAAAGAGAATAGATAGACAGCACAGGCGAAGGAAGGGTTCTCTCTGCTTTCTGTCTAGTCTAGTTAGCCTCTTCCATTTCAAGCCACTCACATTATCCCATAATTCACATGATAGGGGAAATCTCATAATTTGTATAACATGATAGAGAAATTCTATGGAAATCCAGGAAAGTCGAGTGGCATAGTTTAGTCAGGTCAGGAGTTGCATCATATCTGGGCTGCAGGGAAAACAGGAGTGACAGAGCTGGGCCTTTGAACCTTCCCTCCCCCAGGCTGGGACAGGGAGCAGGGGACTTTCAACCAGAGAGGAGCACCTGATCATTCAGACGTGGCTGAACACTGACCCGTTTGGTAGGTGGCAGGGGGTAGGGGAGTTGTACAGCGTTGACTTTTAAAAGCACGATGATCACACTAATTGGTATTGTGTATGCACCCTTGGTAACTTCCAACTTCCTTACCAATAATCAAATTCCGATTCTCCAAGATTGCAAATGGAGAGCTTTCTATGGAGTGGGGGTGAGCCTAGACCTCAGAGCCCCTCCCTCTGTCCCCTGAGATTTGCTTGTCCTGGGGGCTTTCTCACTAATTGCCAATCTTGGAAGATTGGTGCAAACCTCATGCATTCCACCTAAACACAGACGACTTCTGAGAGATTCAATAAATTTTTCCAATCAATTAAATTTGGAGGATAAAGCAAAGCGTCTTTATAGGAGTCTAGAAATCTCTGGCAATTCTGGTTTTTATGAGCTTAAGGGACACTGTAAATTAGTAGCTCAGTTTTCAGATTCTACTGACCACATTCATCAACCTCATTTGACACAAAATCCTATACTCTGAAGAGACAGGACAACATTTCAATTGCCCTGCCACCATCAATCATTCCACTTTGAGTGCTTTGAGCCTAGAATAAGAATTTATGTAAATTCTGGCACACTTAAATTCTGGAGAAACAGGACTTGAAGGTTATTCATATTTGATATCATAGAGTAAAAAATTCCAACCCTCTTATAGGTCCACAATTGAAGGTTTTAAGTAGTAAATAAGTATTTATGTTTAAATTATTTTTTGAGGAGCAAACTAGTCAACATAAAGTAATAATACCCTGAAGTTTTGTATCACTTTTCTTCCCCACAGCTTCTTAAACATTATCTCATTTCCTCCTGTGGAATCTTTTTATTAGAAACATTTTTCTAACAGTAGCATATCAGTGCACTTTAAATTTCATTAAAATGTTTAAACTTCCATTTTTATACTGCTATCATTCAAGCACATTTTACATTTACTCTTTATCTGTTCTTTTTTCTTTTCTTTAAACATGAAATTCCAATAGGTTACTTCAACAGAGTTTCTAATTCCTTCTCAAATATTTATCTTCAAGTCATCTGCTCATGGGTGCTCCAAAGAAAAAAGGTCTTTTTCCCATCCAACTTCCCAAGGCATTTGTATTTGATTTAAAATGCCTTAAAAATGTTTTAAAAGCCCACTTCCTTCCCTAGCTTCAGTGGCAACTTTCGCCTCTTCCAGCCCAATCTGGATATCACGTTCCCAATACCCTCTCCTGATCTTCAAAATGATCATATACTTCGTTTTTATGAGTTCCACATGCCCTGCATCCGGGTCCTCTAATAGGAAAGACAAGTATTGTATAAAATAGAAACCACCGGGTCAAATGTCCAAGAACCCAACTTCCTTTCATCCATTTATAAGCTGTGAGTCCTTTCACAAATCACACAACCTCTCTGAGCCTGAATTTCTTCATCTGTGAAAAAGGTAATAAACATTCATCCTCGCAGGGAAGCATTAGAAGATCCCTCTGTAAAAGCACCTAACGTAGCTCTGAAAACACAGTAAACGGTCAGAGAGTGGACGATGTTGAACACAAGCACAGTTGTATTTAGAACTCGCCTATCTCATGTCTAGACCACTGCAATCATTTTCTAATGGATGGGTCTCTTTTTCTCGTGAATCGATCCTGCACTACAGTGCCAGATTAATCGTCTAAAAGCATCACTGTTGTCAGGTCACCTTGACGTAAGGACATATATAGGAAAAGCATCAAAATCCCCATTCCGAAATCCAAGGGTCCTTTGTGACCTGGTGACAACACAGAATCTTGCCTCTGAGCTGGCTGGTCTCTTCCCAGCCCCCCCCCCAGCTGCTCCCCGACCTTCCCCTCCTCCCCTTCATTGTGGATTCCAAGCCTTCCTCTCCAGGCTTCCCTCACTCTCCCATCTGGTTCAGAGCCTCTGCTATGAACAAGCCGATTTTATCCAAACTTTGTCTCTTTAATCTCTTGTCCTCTGAGAGCTCCCCCCAAAGCACGTGTGTGCACATGCATTTTCTGTAGTGTACACTGGTACGCTTGGTACACATACGTGATAGTGTACATTTGGTACACACATGTAAATATGCAATTTATTAATAAAAACATAATATGGTGTGTATAGCTCTTTTTTTGTTTTATATATGAAAACTGCATCACTGCCAATGAAGTTACCAGCTCCCTGAAGGCAAGAGCTGTGCCCCTTTCTAGCCCAGGGCTGAGTAGGAAGTTGTCCCTGAGTCAATATGGACCCCTCTAAAGACATATGCACCTTATCACTATGCACTTTGTGAATTGAATTTCTTCTTTTATGCCACACTCACGACACCTGTTTTGTGCCTTTATCACATATACTCCTTATCCTCTGAGGGTTCATATCCCCTGAGAAGCAGATAATTATATTAAATAGATGTAAACTGGTACCTAATGCCTAATGGCAGACACAACAACCGCTTCTACTGGTCCTCCCGTTTATTGAGTGACTACTACATGCCAAGCACTGTGGCACATGCCACAGAAACTTGAACATAGACTGTTTCATTTCACTCTCTCGAAAACTTATGCACTGTTAAACTGGGTATGACTCTCATTTGATGCATGCTCAGGGCAGTCCAAGGAACTGTCCAAGGTCATGGGGCTAGGAAGAGGCTGAGCTGGAATTTGACGCCAGGCCTATCTGCACCTAAAAAGGTTTTACCGCCTTGCAGAATGTTGTATTCATACCCAGGTGCACTTTTCTCCCTCCCTGGGGGTGCACCGTGCTGTCACTCTGCCTGCTGGATGCATCTTCCTCATCTTGAGTGGCTCCTTTTCCCAGAATGCCTTTCTTCCCCTGACAGCAGGGCTCTGCGGCTCCTTTCTGCACTGGCTGCTCCCCTGTGGCGGGCGCTGCGTCCTCACAAAGTGCTTTTCTGGGTTTCCAGGGCTGCCCCCTTCCCTCCCCAAAACCATTCTCCATCAGAGGAGTATTCGAAACAGCTGCTGCTCGTCCTTAACGCCCCAGGGCTGAGATTGCTGCTGGAACTTTCCAGGGCTGCTGCAGTGGCCACGCCCCACGCCGAGATAGGCCGAGATAGACGTTCTGGGCTTGCGCCGCCTCCAGCCGTGTCTGGCCCTGGCCTGGGAGACGGAGGAAGGGGACTGACTGGTATGCATTGAATGCTGGGGTGCCTGGAAACTGCTGGGACCTGTGTGCATGTTGTTTCCTTTAGTCCTCGCAACAAATCGGCCAGAGGATTATTATCCCTGTTTTTGCTAGTGAGGGAACCGGACTCAGGGAAATCGGGTGACTGGCTACAATCACACGGCGGGGCAGGGGTCGGAAGCCGAGTGCACCTGCCCCGTCTCATGGCGTCTTCTGATTGGTCAGGGGCAGTGGGTGAAATGGAAGCCCAACTCAGCGTCCTTCTCCTCTCCCTTGAATGAATCCCTCCTTTGGCGCCTCTTCTGCTAGACCATGTTTAACGACGGTCCCCGAGTGCCAGGCACTGCGTACCATCTCATTTGGTTCCCCAGTCGGCGCAGTGAGCATGCGCGGTACTTTAACCCCATTTTACAGGCGAGCTAACTGAGGCACACAGGGTCTTCACACCTGCCCAGGCCACACCGTGCCATATACACTCATTCCAGGTGACTGCATAAAAAAAAAAAAAAATTCCTCTTGCAGGCACTCAGTGATGAGGGCCCCCTGCGGTGGTCTCTAATCTCCCCACCTCTTAGCACTGCAGAGGAATTAACAGCCGATACAGCCAGGCCAGGGGTGCTTCCTGATCTTCCCTTTTCCCCTCCTAAATGCAACCTTTTTCCTTCTCCTTCTTAACTTTGAAGTCCGTCTAGTAAATCTTGGGGGGCAAGAGGGCAGGATGAGCATCTCCATAATGCTCATTAAGTGGGGAGGGAACACTGAAGTATTTATCTTTGTTTGCAGAGAAAAATGAAGGCGATGGCCATGCTTGCATTGCTAACGTCCGGTCCAGAGGAGTAGGCGGCCTATGGTAAGTGCTCAAAGATACTGTATGAATGAATGAATGAGGTAAAATTGGAGTAGAAAAAGTTGGCACTGTCATAGCAAACAAATCTAACTTGGACGGTAACATCTGAGGACAGGGTGTGGATTAGTTTGCATACATTATTTACCTCTGTCTGTAATATCATCCCTTGAGCTCACCTGGAGAGAGGCCCTCTGTACTTAAGGAACCATTTCAATGCTAGATTTAAAAAAAAAGAAACTCCTTCACTTGGAACATAATTTCTTCCTCCTTGGCATCTCATAGTAATTTAATTTCTCCTGGCATTTACTCTTGTCTACCTCAAAGTCTAATTATTGGTACAGAGACAGAATTGCATAGCATTATAGCATTAAGTAGACTCTGATCTGCTCCCAGGCTGCCCAAGTTTGGATCCCAGGTGGGCCCTTATTAGCTGTGTGACTTTGAGCAAGTTACTTAACCTCTCTGTGCTTTATTTACCTCATCTGCAAAATGGGAATAACACTAATACTTTATGTGGTTATTGTGAGGATTTAAGGAGTTAAATATACAATGAGTTAATTTCATCCTTAAAACAGATCTAGCCCCGTAGTCGGTGCTACGTAGCCATTAGCTGTGATTGTGGGTCTGTCTGGCTGGAAGGCAGGAGGAACACCTTACTTAGTTTACTGTCTTCTCCAGGGCTTGGGACAGAGGTTTGTTGACCCTCCTAATTATTATATCTGGAATTTAAGCAAACACATAGCCTTAATCGGAGGGCCAGGAAACCGAAGTCACTTTTGGTCTGAGACTTCCTAGCTCCTCTTCCAGGAGTTGAGCTCCCTGCTCCGCTCGGAGGGACAGCAGTCAGCTCCTCCGTCGATCAAGCTCTTCCCAGACCTGCAAAGCCTCCCTTCCACCATCTGCACCCAACCTCCTTCTGCACCCGATTCCCAGCTGCTCTTCGACATGCCCTGCTCTTTCCACTTGTCACCCTCAATATGCTCTTCCCTCTGCCTGGGATGTTCAGCACCTGCCTTTCCCAGCTCTTCTACTTCTACAAAAGCACCTATGCTCACACAGCGCCCGTGACACCAGCTGGGGTGCTGCTTGGCTCCTTGCTTCTTGTAGTGATTCTGCATCAGCAAATGTAGAGCCGCTTCTGTCCAATCCCGTGCTGCAAATACACCATCATGCATTTAGTTACTGAGAGATAGAGAGTGGTTTCCAGGCTTGTGTGTCTTTTACAATGGAAACACCCCCAGGAGGAATAGCCCCATAAGTGCCCCCCCAGCTGCGCTGGTACAGGGCTATGGGGTGTGCTGAGCTCAGGCAGCAGGCGAATGGGCACAGGGCACCTAGAGGGGAGGAGCCTGAGTGCGTGGAGAGAACTGCCCAGGCCTCTCTTAGGAGGCAGGTTGTCTCAGAATGCCAGGGCCTTAGTGCCCTCCTTACAGACAACGTCCCTGGAACCCGGTGGTGGCTAGCGCAGGGTGTACAGCCCCTTTCAGCGGTTCCCAGAAAGGTTAAAATGACCCTGAATATGCAGGTGAAAATCTGGAAAGAATTTCTCCCTGGATATAAGACTGAGTTTTTGGCGATCCAGTTGGATCTAAGAAAATCTAAAAAGAAGTGTAACCTAAAAATACCACGTTTCTGTCCAACACGGATTATAGCCCTGGTTTTAGACTCATCCTGAGATCTGAGGGAGCCCTTGCTGAACCCCTGCGCTTTTTCCCCTGGTGCCAGGTGCAGCCAAAAAGGTGGAGCGTGGCTGGAGGGAACTCAGCGCTGTGACTTTAACAGGGCGTGCAGCCGCTGCTGCAGTCTCTGCCGCAGAGCCTCAGCTGAACCCAGTGCTTGGAGGTGCCACCCCCACAGCAAGCAGCCAGTAGGGCCCCCTGAGCCGCTTGGCTGCGGTGATGCCATGAATTCACAGTGTCTGCAGACTAAGACCCCGGGGAGGAACAGCACAAACTCTGCTTTCCTTAAACAAGGCTCCCAGACGTTAAATAATTTATTAGAGACAAAGTGCTTAATAGGGAAAAAATAATAATTTCAGAAGCTTAGCTCAGAGATGCTTTCAGATACACACAACATTGGGCTTTTACAGAATTTTCAAACTTAAGCTCTGAATGCAAATGGGTTGCTTTTTTTAATTTATTTATTTTTTTCACACTTTGGGAAGATTTTGTGCTGCGATTTTGCTGTTTGGCGAGGGCTTGCTTAACCTGATTGTAGCAAAAACGTCACTCGTTTAAGGAATGTGACGTTTATCAAGATCGTAAGACACACGACCACAGAAAAAGAAAAAAAGCAAAACTAAGTATAAGAAAAAATAAAAAGGATCGTAAGATAGATGAGCCTTTTGGAAACGGGTTTTCGTGCATGGTCCCTGCCGTATTAGCTACTGTCCTGGCACAACTTGTGCGAGGTTGGAGTGTTTGCCTTCATCCTCACTCGGATAGTCTTCCTCATGTTCTTTATATAAGATCTGCCTCTTTTTCACGAGCCTGCCGTTACATAAAGAGATATAGAACACAGCACCAATTAAGTGCCTCTGCTCTCCTCTTTAAACTTCCCACACCTTTCAGCTCTTACTAACAAAGATGAGAAACCCAATTAGGCAATTTTAAAATAGCAGCTTTTTACGATAGCGCCATATAGGCAGCTATATATTGTTTCGCTGCGTCTTTTACCCTGCGAGAAATGTCCAAAAAAGGCAACAAAGATATTAATATGTCCCTGTTCCTGGTGGGTCATAATTTAGCTTGTTGAGCAAAATCATCGTAGAAGAGCCGAATGTTCCAGCCCCTCCTGGGATGCTCAGCATATATTTCCCTCCCACTCATCCCTTTATGAGGAAAGCAAAGCACTGGGCAGAAGGGGAAAGGCGAGGGTCCCACAAACTTTTGCTTTATTGGAGCATTTGTTTTCAGAGGAGTCATTCTACAAGTAGCTAGTCACGATGCCCATGGAGTAAGATCCAAAAGAGTGAGGGGGGCTTAGTGCATTTACACATATGTGCAGTAGTATTTGCACAAACCTTGTTGTCAACGCCTCTTTTACAACTTGGATTTTTCTCTCTTTGGAGGCTCCTGCCACCTTGTGGCCAAATCCCGCCACTGCAAGGCGCGCTGAGTCTCGCGCAAGCTGGTAGACCTCTCTTGCACCAAAACTGATTCAAAAGGATGTTCTCTCTTTCCCCACCAAGTTGGCGTGCCCAGGTGGTAGAAGAGAACGTTTGAGTGGGTTTTTCCAAGTGTGTTGAAGAAACATTATTGACTCTCTTCTGTCCTCAGGAAAACTAGATTTGCCTTAGCCATTAACCAGATGTCGAGATGTTTAACCATTTTAGGTTCATGAACATAATGTAGAAGGTGAGCAAATCAAGATACTGTCTCATATCCTTCCAAATCGGGTTGAAAAGAAAATATCAGTGGACCCGTGCAAGCTGCTGTGTATTACTTTACTGCATGTTATACCTTGAGAGTGATATGCAAGAAAGGAAACAAAGATGTTAATATTTTTCTTGGTCAGTACAATGATATCCTAGGCACACAGGGTGAAAAGCTTACTAAAGTAGTGGTCTGTTTTAACTTGGAGAAAGTTTAGGCCATCATACATTTGATCATGCAAAACTTCATGGGATTCATAATGATTATTGTAGTATATATAACAAAAACCATACTCATACTAAGCATAATTAAACTGTGGCAGTAAAAGTAATACATATAAAAAGTAAATATCTTCCAGCTTATTGTTTTGGGTGCTACGGTCATTTTGTGTGTGTGTGTGTGTGTGTGTGTGTGTGTGTGTGCGCGCGCGCGCATGTTTCTGTAGTATCTCCTGAATCTGGATTGTGATCTGAACTTTTCTATCCCAAACCCCTCAAATTGCCATGGATTTACAGGGTGGTTGCAGGCTGGTAGCTAGGAAAGGGTCTGACATCTGAGAGCTTTCTATATCCCAGACCCTGTGAGCGTGTTTTCAGATACATCTTCTCCTGTTGCATCCTGATACCCTGATCGGAGAGCGATTGTTGTCTTTGCTTTTTATAAAGGGGGAAATGGACACTCGGCAGTTTAGTTATTCAACCAGTTAACAACACTCGAGTGAAAGAGCTGGTCTTTAAACTACAGAGTGGGTGCCAGATGGGGCAAGATGTCCTTATGGGATTTTAACTGTTGTGCAATGGTCAGACTCCATAGACAGTGCTCCTTCAATATACAAAGTTAAAAAGCATGTGGCACGTAAATGCTCAAAAATTATAACTCATCTTCCCGAGGTGTATGTATAAGACTTGGAGATGCCTAGGCACATGCACTCGGCTAAGCTGGGAGATGGTAGTGGCTCCCTGGTGTTGGCAAATATCTCCCTCTGAACCTGGCGAGAGGTGGCCCAGCTCTGACATTGAGATCATGAACCCTTTAGATGTAAGTTAGGAGGGGATTTGAACTTCACCAAGTCCCTGAAAACACTGGGACCTCCCACCCCGTGCCCCGCCAGGACAGTCACAGCAAGTGGGAATACCTTGTTTTGAGTATTCTGAGATATCTCAGGAGATGAGTATGGTTGGTGATCAGTGGCCCGAGCACCCCGTCCCCCAGCTAGAGCCTCACCCCGCAGCCCTCAGCTACCGTATTCATGAGCATCCTAAACTCTATCCTGGTCAAAACAGACACCCCAGCCCACGAGAAGGAGGGCAAACCCGAACCAAAGATCACAAAACTCCCCCGCAAGGGTGACTTAAATGCAGTGTCCCTAGCATTCGTGGTGGCTCCGTCTGGGGGAGATGGCAGAGGCAGTCTGCCTCCACGGCCACTTGCATTTTATTTTAAAATGCAGCTCGGGTAAATGAAATGGAAATCTGTTTGTCACCGGACAGGCTGACACCGTTGTAGGGCAGGAATCACGTCGTCTGAAGGTTGAGGTGGATAAGAAAGACACTGTCCTGCTGACAGGAGAGAAAGTTCCTGCCAGTTCTGCAGTGATTGCAGGAGACAGCAGGGCTTTTTTTTTTTTTT